ACAATGATAACTTATTTATATTCCGGACTAGCTGTATGTTTTAAAATTCAAAAATTTCATCCTGCAAATAGACTGATTGTTGCACTATAATTTCTACCTTCTTAATTCTATACCTTATCTGTGTCATTTATAAGGGGCTTAGGCTTTAGCAAACTTTCTCCTAAAAAAGTTAATTTCATTGCGTCACTGGGTACAGATCTTACTAGTCTGTAAGTAATCGTTCGCTTGAATTATTAAAACCAAGATTAGTAATAAGGTAGTCTATCTCACTTTGCTTACTGATACTCAGTATGTGCTATCTCTTCATTAACAAATTTATCTAGCATTTTATCGTCTACTTAAGGTTTGCTTTTGTTTTAGATATCTAGACGGTCTTCGACTAAAGGATTTCATAAACGCTTCTATGATTTCTAAGGAAATCCAAAATCTGTAAATGAAAATTATTTTCACAGTTTGCTACAAATCCTTCAGTAACCTACTGTAAAATGCTCTCTGAGGCTACTATTTAGCGTTACCAATCGTAGATATCCCTGTAAACTAAATGCCGTATGCTCTCATAGGTATTAGAATTAAAGCCGCTTTGTTGTGATATTGATAATGTAAAGTGAAGAAAATACGTTACACTGTACAGTATGTGTTAAAGCACCAAGATGTCTAAAACAGGAGTCTTTACGTAGGTAAAAACGTGGGTATCTTTCAAACTGTTAGGTTGTGTACAGATACTTCACCGTACAATCCGTCAGAGAAAGAGTATAAAAACCGGGTGGGAGGGTTGGGAGTAAGAGAGACATCTCGAACCGAGATATTCCTTATATAGCTTTTGTATCAGTAAATATTTTTAACCTATTACTCATATCTAATCTTAATCGAAATATGCTATAAAGTACCGTAAGCTATATCGTTAAGGCTTGCAATGTTGTAATCTACTATGTCTTTTGAATAATTATGCTAATAATCATTTGCTTCTACTTAAAACATCAGATATTTAAATGATAATGATATAAGCTCCATTCATGCATCATCGGCGCCGATACTTCGTAGCCTTAAGAAACTGTAAGAACATCAAACTAGCTAACTGTCGAATCTTCATGTTACCTTCATCTATTATCTTATTCAATATTGATGACTATACTAATAAATATCTATCAAACCTTTTTTAAATATAGATTTGCTGTAGTCTAAAAGATTCTAATATTACCAGCATCTATACTTCTAAATCTACGCATGTCTTATGAATGCATTAAATATACATGCTTAATTTCAAATTTTACTGAAATATTTAGGGTAATGGATCGAAATAATATGGGAAATCAGGGATATGTGACGCTAATAACTTTAACTCCAAATCTAATAGAATTGTTAGTGAAAATAAATAATTAATAAGAATACAGATGCATTTACGTTGATAACTTAAACAATACTAAAAATATTGCTATGGGTAAATGCTATTTTATTTATTCGTGTTTCTGAAATATATACTAAACGGTAATAGTGGCACATAATATTAATAAATACGCATAAATGTTTTAACCTATTTAATATACCCTTTGCTATTTGAGACAGTATGCTTCGCAGATACTTGAAAATATTAAATTTTCAATATAGCACTACTGTTTTAGATTTAATTAACTCGTTAAAAATTCAAACTTTTATCGATGCCTTAATTATAGGTACCTCGGCGAAAATAATATCTCCGAAATTTGTCCAAAATTTCTGTCTTTAACTGCCTTTTCAAAAATACGCTATCTGTTAGTATTTAACTTCATATACCTGATAAAGAAGATTAAGAACTGCAATTTAGCTCCATTTCTTGTTTATACATAATGAACATTAGCAGATTTCAAAAATTGTACGGATTACAGTGAAATATTATCCATAATTTGTCTATAAATGATCCTCATATGCCTAGAAACATACTACACCCTTACACATATAGTAAAATTTCTCCTTATATGTTCTTAATAATTCATGAATGATATTAGAACTTGTGTGATTTCGAAGTTTCGCCATCGGCTAGAATATACATGTTTACTGAGTAATAGTAGCCATTTTGTAGTTATGACAATACAAAGTATGCAGAAATATACTGGTGATATATAATTTATTTAGGATATCTAATACGTCTTTTACATATCGAACAGGCACATAATTCTGTAATATTATCTTGTACTGATAACCAATTTTACGCGACTACAATATAAATTAGCTAGCCTTTAATAAAAATAAGCATCAGTTTAATCTAGAAGAGATATGCAGTTTATTATGTCCTGCTTAGAATAAAGATTGTCATTATGCTGTGGTATACGCAGGAGAGTACTAGCCCGACAGTAGACTTCTGGTGTGTAATCTTTTCTAATATTTTTTACTTTTCTCGTTACCAATGTCAGCTTGTAACAACTAGTGTCTTATATTTTGTTGACAGCCTAGGTAACTATTTAATTTTATGCCTGATTCATGGCTAATTTTAAGCTAATATTAGATTTTTACAATATTTTGACTCATTACTAACGCTTATGAAATATCTGAAAGATACATTCTATGAACATGAAATAATAACTGAATTTTAAAATTAATAGAAATCTCAATAGCAATAACATCGAAAAGTTAGATAGCTATTGTTTTTGGAGTATGCCTGACCTGAATTACCTGTAAGTACAATTTTACAAACTGTAATGGCTAATGCTAATTACACATACAACAATTAAAATTAAGGCTAGATCTCAAAAGATAATTAGCATTGGCATAAGAAGTAAGGAAATTTCAGATATCCACAATATCTGAGATACTGCTAGCAGTAAAAACTAAATTCTTATTTCACTTTTACGATTCTTTCGCAGGGTTTTGAAAGATAATCCGTTAATAAGTTTTAATTCCCGCTCTTTTGGTGGTGTAGCAGGCATTCGAAGCATGTAAGTACGTATATATACTAGAATCTCCTATTTTTATGTAGTTCGATATAACATCAATGACAAAGGGATGATTTAAAGAGAAGCAGTTTTCATTTAGCAGTTTGACACAGAATGCGTTTAAGATTTTTGTACGCTCATTCATGTACATTTCAAGCATAACAAATAAAATTTTACGATTTCTTAATACTTTACTTTTATTTATTGCACGTTATGATTTATTATCGGATGTACAATGTTGATATATCATATTTGAATTACAAGCATATTATAAGTATAAGAATCTGAGAGGTTTCTCTAATTAGGCCAAGCCGAATCTATATTTTTTGAGAACGTTTTACAGCTCGAGAGTCAGATCAAACAAACTTCTAAAGACTTAATTCTAAGTACTGTAAGTGAAGATATAAAAAGGATAACGACAGAACTGAAACTGTCAACCACCATACTACCTAATAAAAGGAAGAACGTCTTCACTTACAACAGTTCGACCCCGAAAGCCTTTGAAATTCAACAAGTTCTTCAAAAGAATCTTCTTACACTCTCTACTCTAAATTTTCTGATTGCACTAGCATGCACTATCATGCACAGAGTCTACAACGAGTGTGATCAGACTACTAATAAAATTGCAATTAGCTAGTAGCTAATAAATAAGGGTTATCAACAATAACTAATAAAGGGTTATCAACAACTAATAAAAGTTTATCAACAAATAAAAATCTTAATTGATCACACTAAAGCTACGATAAACTCTTGGAGTCTGCACTCCGTCATACACCTGCTTCTAAAAAACTTATTTATTAATAAATTAAAATACTGATAAGAAAGGGCATCGATTTCATGGTGTATTTTGAAGTAGTTACATGCTAAATAAAATATTTAAAACAGAATAACTTTACTTACATATTTTAGCACAAAACTACTTTACGAATGTATTAGCGTTGTAACGTGGAAAGGAAAAGTTCCCATATTTTCTCCAAAATGCTATAACAAAACTATAATCATAAATTTCCCTGAAAGTTAATGCTACTCCCTACTTGCTAGAAGTCTATTCATCAGCTTATGCTAGATGTTGAGTTCAAACAATTAACAATTTTTTAATGGATATTTAAATTCAATATAACCCATTTTCAATTCATTGATTTTAATAATTTATTTAATTTATAAAACGTTTTATTACTGGTAATATAGCCTTGAAATACCTATTTCCTTCTAATTTAAATTGTCCTTCGTCTATTAACTATAGACATTCGACACGTGAATACTTATGTTGCGTTGCGCCATCCTCAGTAATTGTATGCAGACCAAATCCGAATCAATTTAGCTTATCTACATGCTATAATATTTTGGCGCATGATTTATTGCGTGTATTTATCTGGGTAATTGGTATAATTTCAGTCGTTGGTAACACAGTTTCTATAAGGTGGCATTCTCAAAAATATTCTTCTAATAAATTTGGAATAGTAAAAATGTTATTAATTAATTTATCGACTGCGGATTTTATCATGGGTATCTACCTAATTGTCATTGCATCAGCCAATGTATATTATGCAAATCGTTATTATGAAGTTTTTGAAATATGGCTACGTAGTGTACCATGTTTAACGGCCTCGTTTTGTATCTCATTATCGAGCTTAATGTCGACATTTGTGCTTTTTCTAATAACTCTTGATCGTTATCTGCACCTAGTTTTTCCTTTTCAAAATTATCGCTTATCTACTAAAACTACTATCCTAGCATTGGTAGTTCTTTGGTTGATATCAATCACATTTGTTGGATTACCAATTCTTTATAGTATTAATCAACCGTCAATTAATCGTCTATATTCTAGCAATAGTGCATGCTTACCTGGTAATTTTAATAACCCATATTTATTAACATGGCTATTATGTTATGCTGGATTAACCTTAATCGTTTGGATTTTTATTGCAATCATGTATGCCGCAATTCTATCGACATTAGCAAATTCAAGTAAAAAAACTCATAGACGCTTATCAAGGAATGATAAAATTGTTCGCGCTAAAATGATTACTATTGTAGCAACGGATTTAATATGTTGGCTACCACTATATATAGTATTAATTCGAGGTTTTGGTTTTGGATTAGACACGCATTCACTACCATTTATCGCTGTGTTATCATTGCCACTAAATTCATGTATCAATCCGATCATTTATACGCTCTTTACAACTACCTTTATC